TGGCCAGGAGCGCTGGTGGTATTGTAGGCTGTGTTGAGCTGCTAACCGAAAGGCTGGCAGCTGGCACCTAGCAGGCCTTCTGAGGGACAAAGACGAAGGCAATCTCCTCTTAGTTAAGATATACAGCCTTGGAACCCCAGTGCAGCACCACCATGAGCAGAGAAAATACTTAGTGACAGTGATGGTGGATTTTTTTGTTTCTGTACATAGGATGCATACGGCAGGGCTATACCAACAGTCTCCTCAACTCGTCTTATGAAATGTGTTCTTTTTTTTTATGAAATGTTTTTAACAAAATATATTTCATTAGTTAGAACAGCTCTCTTTTCACTCCTGTCAAAAATGTCTATTATTCCCCACAGTGAAGATACATTTCAGGAAAGGAAATAAATAATGAGTATGCTAACAGCATCAAAGCAGCAGGCAAAAGAATCTCTAGAAAGACTTAGAAAGTAGTAAAAATAAGTTAAAACGTCTATCTCTATTTCATATCTTATTTTATAAGAACTGAAAAGTATTCTAGAACTTTTCTCTAGAATATTCTACTTCAGAAAAATGATAATATAAATGCCTGATTCCTGGGAGCTAACTGTGAAAGAGAAAGAAACACTTTTGTGCAATTTCTCCAAAGGAAGAGTCAGTCCTGTCCTTAGCCATACCAAGCACAAGATAGTGAATTTTTAACTATGTACCTAATGTAAATATTTACTCTTTATTTATCAGTGTCTGAAGCATCTGTCTGTTATAATTTCCAGTGTGCTCCTTGCTATTTATCCACTTTAGCATAAAATTTGTTTTCCTTTAGAGCAAATACTCTAGTAAACAGAACCATCCCTTGGCTATCCTATCTACATACTTTGAAAGCCAGAAGCACATGGGTATCAGATGCATTTGATAATAATACCAAATGGATTACACTAACCTTGTAACAGGTTACTTAAATTTGTTCTAGTAAAACAATGGGGATTAGCAATAACTAGGCCACTTGGTCTTAGGTATTCAGAACTAAGAGCATGAAGTGGCATGAAGCTCTCATTTAACTAGCCTCAATATATAACATTTGATAACTTGTGATTTTTTTTACCTCCCTGTTGCATATCATTTTAAACAGAAATATACTACTGATTTTCCAAGAACATTAAAAAAAAATAGAAAATAAAAACCTCAAGATAAGTCTTCAGGCTTCAACCAGATAAGCATGTCATTAGGTACATCATGGCTTTTAAAAAGACCTATGTAAATAGGCTGACCTTACATTCAAGATAACCAAGAACTCAATTCTAGTTGCTTGAGCAACTTGACAAATCATTTTTTGGTCCAATTTATCCTTCTGTGACACAGGGCTATTCAAAGATATACTTGAGTATCAACTAATTAAGAGTGTAAACAACTGAAAAAGACCAGCAAGTAGAAAATCCATTAAAATTCCTAAGAACTCAATGTAATTTTCAACTTGAAATAGGAAGTAAGCATCACAAATGCCTGAAATCATATATTGTTCCTGACTGCTTCCCCCAAACATGTAAATTCAATGTCTTAAGATTCCTACTCTGTTTTCCTAGCAACCACTTTCCTCAAAGCTATGAAAAGGGCTTTTTGTTTAAATTCCAAACAAAATACATTTAAGTAGGCATTCTGACAGTGATGATGATCTTGTTTAGATGGAATGCCAGCAGGCATGAGGATTTGAAAAATGTCTTGTGATAGAAACAACTAGAATTAGAAAGCAAAATTATGTCTGCAAAAATTGAAAGAATAAAAGGAAGAAAACAAGGAGAAGTGTACTGAAATGAAGAGAACAAAATGAAGGGCAAAATAATTCAAAGAAGTGGAGTAAAGTTGAAGATAACTAATGAAAGTCCATCATGGAAATAGAAAAAAATGTTTGAGGCTTTTACAAACATTAATATAAAAAAAAATACATATACACACAAAGCTTGAGCTTACTTTCATTTATGTATTTCTCAATATATTCCAAAACTGCCAAAAAAAGTTTATCTGAATTATCAGGGAACTTTGCACTATCAAGAATTAGAATATATGCTTCTAATTGTGCTACAAAATGAATACTCATTCATGTTAAGAATATGTGATTTTTAAGCTAAGTGTCTGCCTTCATTTCTCCAAATATACTCCAAAGTAAATTCCAAGGACTGCTAATTTCCCAGATGAGGCAAACTCTTTCCGAAAAGCACATACTAGTTCTTCTCTGGTAAAATCTGGGTAAAATGAAAAATCAGAAACTAAACCATCAAGTTGCTTCTAACTCACAGAAACCTTTTAGGATAGAGAACTGCCTCTTAAGGTTGTTTCCTCAGCTGGAATCTTTATGGATGCAGACTGCATCATCTTTCTCTCAGTGTGGCTGGTGGCCTTGAATCACTAGGCCACCAAGGTCCCTAAGACAGAAAAAACAGGGTCATTATTTTGTAGGGCAAGAGAGGGGAAACTGTCCCTGAAAATAACTTCTAACTCAAGAGGGCTCTCCAGAGCCCTAAAGTTAAGCAGGAAAAGTAGACTTGATGAGGAAAGGAGAAAAGAGTTTTTAAGGCATCCTGTGGACATAAAGTTTGCACTCGTTCACCTGTCCCCATTCAGTATCTTTGCTAACACCTGGTGCTTCATCCCTCTTCCCTCTAGGGATTTTCCTCCTCACAGCAATCCCTATGAGGGGCTCTGCTGAAAGTATCCTCATCAGTGGGATGTTCAAGAAAGATTCCCAAACTCTCCCAGACAACATCTACCCCCAAAATTTGCAGAATGGGGATAGAAGAACCACCCCAAAACAACCTATCGACCAATAACAAAACACAAAAGTACCTCGGCACAACTTTGTGTTCTTCACATACACCAAGGAGAAGGCAGAACTCTGTACTGCAAACATTCCCACAAAGTGGGAATCACCTTCCCTAATATAGCTAAGTCCTAAATATAAACCTACAACTTTTTTGTTATTGTTGTTGTTCAAACATAAGCAATTAAACCTGTGGGTGGAGGAAATGGTGGTGGGTGAGGAAATGGTGGTGGAAGGAACACAGGAAAACAATGACAGTGCAGCTCCATAATGTCCACCAGCATTAAAACGACTCTAAATGTCCTTGTCAAGGGCTACTACAGTAATGACACCCATGACATCCTTCCTCTGCAGGCTTTGTTCTCGTGATCGAGCCTGGGTTACTAGGAAGGAGGAGAAGAAATTACATACCCTGAGTCTGAAGTAATTCTACCATTCTGTGAGGTAATACAACATCACTAGTACGCAAAGCCATAAAAGGCATAGAATTTCCTGCTCAAATTCAAATGGTTCTGGTAGCATGAGGGAAACATGAGAACTGAACAAGTGTGGCTTAAGTTTGCCTTCTGAACACCACATTTCACAAGCACATATATATTCACATACCAAAAAAAGGACTAGTATTTCATTTTCTTGTCGTTCTAACTACAGGAAGAGAATGCATGTGTTTTGAACAAATGTAATCCAAGGAAAACAAAATCTAGACTATAAAACTAAATCCAAAATTTATTTCAAAGTTTTGCTTGAGACTTTTGGAAGGTTTACTATACTAGGTATAACCTTGATTCATCTCATACTTAATGTGAAAGTTGCACAAAGAACAAGGAAGACCTAAGAATTGATGCCTTCGAATTTTAGAGTTGGCAAAGAATATTCAATACACTAAGCCTACAAGAATAATCAATCGGTCTCTGTTTAATAGAGAGCCAGAAAGCTGCTTAAAACCAAGAGTAGTGAAATTTCCTCTACTGACTATGGACATGTTATCAGGAGGGACTGTCCCTGGAGAAGGACCTCATGCTTAGTAAAATGGAGAGACAGTGAAAAAAAGGAAGACCCCTCAACGAAACCGACTGCCACAGTGACTGCCCCAATGGGCTCAAATTCAGGAATGATGGTGAGGCACGTGGAAGACCAAGCAATATTTCCGTTCAGCTGTGCAAAGGGTTACTATGGGTCAGGACCAACTGGACAGCACCTCACAGGCTTGTTAAACAAGGAGTAATTTTTTTATAAGACAGTCAAAAAAAGGCAACTAGTTGGGTACCTGTCACTTTGGGAATAGTTGTTCAATAAAAAACAGCCACTCCTTCAAAAACATCCAGAAGTAAATACATGAAATTCTAAACCCAAGTGTGTGGAAATGCAATTCTGGAGCATCATCAACCAGCTTTTAAAATTTAGCCCTTAGAAGTAGAAGACTTTGCTGGATTGGAGAGACTGCTTAAATTTTCCCTGACTGCAGATTAAGTTCCCTCATCTGTAAAATGGGGGATATGATTGCATCACAGGGTTGTTAGTAAAGTAAATGGAAAAATGCAGTAGGTATTTAGAATAATAAACAAAAAAAAATGCTAGCAATAATCTAAGATGTGTGCTGAATGGCTTAAAGTAGGACCTACTTTAATGTACTGCATCAGTTTCTTAAATTGAAATCTCAGCCATTTCATAAAAGCATTTTACTCTATGCACACATCATGCGGCATGAGCCTTCCAAATGATGCCAAAATTACATACTTTTATTCATCCTTCTGAGAGCTTGTCATATAAGGCAAGGAAAAAGGAAGATGCTTCTTCTTGGCTGTTGCTACTTCACAACTTCAAAATACTGTCACGTACACAATAGATTGGAGCTGCCCTCAAAATGACAGCTCACAGCTTTGCAGCGCCCGCAGAAGTGCCCAGGAGGCTCTGCTGGCAAAGGGGTTCGCCCCGGCGCACTGTGAATCGCCTACCTCCCCAGCAAAGCGCACACCCCAGAGCCCCAAGGAAAAGAGAACTCTTCCAAAGGGAAAGCGAGTGGAGTTAGGGAGAAAGGGAGGGAGTGAGGACCCTCCCGGTCACACAGGGTTCGGAGCCACGCCGGATGCCCGTGATGGGCAGCGACATCCCGGACCACCCGCTCCCCTGTCTCCTCCCATTCCCCCGACGAGTGCCGAGGCCAACTCCCGTCCCGCACCGGACTCGGCCCTCCACGCCCCCTCACCTAAAGGCTGGTCCTTCCTTAAGAGCCCTGCCCTGGGCAGACGCCGACGCGGAGCTGCCACCGCTGCTGCTGCCCCTTTTGTTGAAGAGCTTCTGGAGCAAGGTTGGGGCCATGATGCTGCCGCCGCCGCTGCAGCTCTGGCCGGGGCGCTCAGGAGGCCGGCAGCTCAGAGCGC